GTGTATTAATTGTATTGCCGCTTCGTGTTAGCTACAAGCTTGTTTGAACGAGTTACAGCTGTCGAATTCACAAAAATTCGCAAGCAATGCCTGGCATTTACCTGGACAAAATAAGTAATTCGGGAGAGTTACAAAGGATATCAAAATTATCGATTTGATTCAGTGCAAGCCCTTTTGATCGCAACACTTTCAGTTTCTTTTACGTGTCATGCGGAGCATGTACACAATCGTGTTTGGCACTAGCTTTCATGTCGGGCTTACCGTATTTACCCGTGTATAATCAGGGTTCTCAGTTGAACCCGTAACCCGTAACACCTGTCACGGGTGTCACAGGTAAGTGTTACGGCTGTCAAAGTGCTTCAACCAGTAGATCAATTCGTCTATCAAATGCAAATAAAAGAACGGCTTTTTGAGTAAATTGCTGGGTAAACTATTGACTGTTAGTTGCTTTCGCAATGTACCTTTCTTCGGTTTTAGTTGTCAAAGTGAATAGCCTTTTTGCAGACCATAGAATAACCGAACAATCGCGTCACGTCTCCGCAACGTTGAATATGGCCGCCATATTGAATTTGTAAATTTGAACCCAGGCCTCTCGCAGATGTCGTCTTTCCACGTGCAAAAACATGGCCGATTCATTCATTAACAAATATTTGCGCTATCTTATACTCTTTCTCATTTAGATATATAGCAGTTACTGGGTCAGTGTGGCCTTGAGAATTAGTTTTTGTAAGTGGGTGCCCCCATTTGGAAAGGACTGGTTACCTAATAATTATTTTTTTTGTATAAAATGAATGCCATTAACTCAGAAAGCAAAGCATTGCTATTGCAGGTTAATATTTCATTGAATATTGCAGTGTAGTTTTCAGTTTGATAAGAGATAATTTCAACTTTCCGTAGTTCAAAGCCACTGAACAGATTACAAAATGTACTTAAACTTGTTTGGAGAAAATGAGAAAATATGCCCCCAAAATGAAGGGAAAAGCATTTCTGAGCATCTTAAATAAAAAATTTTTTCGGACCCCCCTAGCAGCTTGGGCCCTATGGGCCCAAGTTACACGCCCAAAGGGCGTGTATATTAGGGTTACGCCTGTAACTACCAAAGCAACAGCTGTACAAAATTCTACTGAGAACCCTGAATTAATGCGCACTTTTTTTTTCCATAAAAACAAGCATCAAAATCGCGGTGCGTATTATACACGGATTCTATTGTTTGTCAAGCACGTCCCAATTTGCATACGTTAAAAACGCAACAAAGAAAGTAAAAGTGCACGGATCGATGGCCTGGGGAGGAGAAAGAGCTTGCTTGTTTACAACTCATTTGAAGCTCACATGACAGATACTGTGAACACTTCCTTCAAACGCGAACTTCTCTTCTCCAGTCGCTCGATGTATCTTTGAACAAACCATTTAGAGATGGAGTCCGAAAGGAGTGGATGGCTGATGCAATTCACGAACTTACTGGACGACAAAAAAAGGCTTCGGAGGAACTGATCTGTTCGTATATTTCACAAGCGTAGGAAGGCATTCCATCAGAAATGATCGCTGCCTCTCTCTGAAGTGTGGGATCACAAACAATTCGAATGGATCACAAGATGAATTGGTTCACAATTCAACTGAGATCACTGATGAACTTGAGGATTCAGTCATCGAAAACCTATTCGAATCGGACTGTGAGTCGGTTTAAAGACACTGAACATTTTACTTAAATCACGCAATTGCAATGCAGTAATTATATTCAAGCTACCAGCAGTACTGTGAGTAGAAATAATGTTTATGAACGGCTGTTATGATAATAATTCAAGTTGTGAATTTAGGTATATTAGTAAGGACTTCAAGTTACAACATTTATAAAACGTTTGACTGTTACTGAATAGAAAAGCTTGTAAATAGGTGCTCGGTGCGTTCGATATTTGTAGTAGCAACTAGTTAGAAATTGTTGTAAACATATTATTGATGAATTCCCAGCTCTTGTTAATTAAGTGAAAAAATGGAAGTTTTAATTCTTGGTATTTGTCATGAAATTTTTTTTTTTCGGAAAAAAGAGGTCAAAAATTAGGGTGCGTATTATACACAGGCGCGCATTATACACGGGTAAATACGGTATGTACGTATCAACTAAATTTGCTCCCGTATTTACGATGCATTTGATCAAAAAGCGATAAATATTTCAGCGTATTTCATGTGTTTATGTTTATCATTTTATACTGTAGTTTGAAAGGGATTTTTTCTTTTCGATAGACAGCTTAGATTGTCCTTCCAAACTGTACTGTTATACTGATTTCCTTGTTAAATATCGAGACAAGTTGATTTTTCTTCAAATTCAGCTAGTTATTTACTGCAAGAGTCCTTTCAATTAACTGCATTCGAGTTTTAGGAATCCAATTCATCAACTGGTAATGATTGAATAGAGTCTGAGTGAAGTTTTACCTTTTGTCATCTGCTAATCAGCATACGATGAATCAATAATCATATCAACTGAATGTTTCCGATCAATTTTTTTTTAATCAAAACTGGTTTAGTTCTGCATGAGGCTGCATGCATCCAAGTATGTGTTTGTTGATAATTTATGTTGTTATATGGCAAGGTAGTCTTGGGATAAATGTAAAGTTCTGATTGGTTCTTACTTGGTCAGGATTTTGCCACATAGACCATCATTGCACCATACAGAAAATCATAAAACATGTAAATTCATTGTAAACTAGTTTAGTCCAAGTGACATTGGTGCATGACAATTACCATGCTCTCTTGAGGGGTTCTGGGGAATATTGGCACCATGTCATTCCTTTTCTGTTACAACCTTGGGCCAATATACCTCTGTAAAGCCCTGGCAATCACCTGGTTATATAGAAGTTTGTAGTGGTTTTTGTAAAAGCGATATACACTTACAGGCTATTTTAAATTCCAGTTCAATTGACTTCCTTGCTACTCCATTTTTATTGAATTTTTTTGTACATGAAGACAGCCAGCAAGGATTATTTGATATTTAAAAACAACCAGTCATGATTATTAGGAGAATTAAAGTTAGCATCAAAGATAAATCAATTTTGTGCACAGACAAAAAAATAAAAAAATATACATATACTTATAAAGCAAAACTGTCAGCACCTGTACCAAATTGAAATCCATTTCAACATACATCAGCATGCATAAATGTAAATATTTCACTGTTTTTCCTGTGATAAAGTGAAACAGTTGAACTAACAATCACTTATACAAATATGGGCATCAGCTCAACTGTAGGAAATTGAATAAATGAAATACATCTTTTATAAGTTTTGACCAGTAATCCCTATTTAAAAATCAAATATGAAAATTTTACTTTGGTGTTGTAAAATTTGTTTCTTATGAGAAATGATTCAGCATAAACTCTCTCCTCTTGCGGAGACATGGTGGGCTTATGATTAGTGAGGTGGACACACGGTCAAGAGGTCTGGATTTGTAGCCTGGGCTGTGCTGGACTCAGGGTCAAGAGGTCTGGGTTCCAGTCAATGTATTGTGTTCTTGTGCAAAACACTTAACTCTTACAGTGTCTGTCTCCACCCAGGAGTATAAATGGGTAGCAAACATTAGTTAGGGAAACCTGATAAAATGCAAGGGGGTGAAAGGGGGGGAGATGACAGTGGAATGGACTTGCATCCTGTCCAGGGCTGGGTAGTAATACTCCCAGTTGCTTCATATAAGGAAACCAGGATTAAGTAAAGCTCAGGGCCTGGACAGGCCACTTTTCAAATCCAGATGTGACCTAACTACCTACCACCTCTTAGTTTAAATGATTTAAATTGCTACTGTTACAAATTATATAAACTTGAAACACACAGATGTTGATTTTTGCCCAATTTATTTCAGTCAATTGCATAGGAATGTCTTTGGTAAATCTTGAAATTTATTGTAACGAGAAGTGAATTACTGTTTATTTAAATATTAATGCTTGTTTTCTTCAATATATATATCTTTTGTTCTTTTACTGCTTTAAATATGCTATTAATATTAATTGCTTGTGATTCTGTGTCTATGTATCCCTCCCATTCTCAGGAGGGAAAAAATATTTAGTTTACAATTGGGTAATATGTTGAGCTAATTTTTTACCATTTGCAACCATCTTTTTTTTCAGGCCAGGATGACTTAAAACAGAAACTTTTTGAAAGAAGCATCCCCTTACAGTTGCTATGGCTAAAGAAAGAAGTCCAATTAAGGTTCCATCTGAAAATGAAGACTTACCTGACAAAGAAAATGCTCCAGATTTTGATGAGGACACTTTACGAGGTGAGCAAGGTTCAACTTTGGCTTCAGTCACTGTTAAAACGTTTTCTATTCTACCAGTTTCAAGAATGTAAGCAGATGTGGAGAACAATATTAATACACTGCATGACCACCTTAAAGGATATTTGGCCAGTCATGACTCTCTTCTATGATTAAAATATGCTGTTCATTGACTGAGAGGATCCATGACATATTTGTTATTTTCTTTTCTCAAAGTTCAAAGCAAGTACACAAAGTTATAATAAGTAAAGACTTTATTTGATCATATAACATTCATTTTGTAAGTTTGCATCATAAGTACCATCATCATCATCATCATCATCTTTCCATTATATTATGCAACATTAAATTGAAAGTTTCAACTTCCCCTAAGCAACCAATTTCCAGTAGAGTGCAAGTGTTATATCATTGAATATGGAGGTGTTTAACCCTTGACACCCTAACATCAGTATCCATATTCTCCATACTATTTTTTGTATGTTTCTTGTGGTACTGAAAAAGAGAATTCATTTGAAGATCAATGCTTCTTAGGTTGGTGATCATTTCCTTTATTCTCATGAGCTTAGTGAATGATTCAGCAGTATTACTCCAAGCTTTTCAGGGGATGGGTCAAGTCAGGCAGGTGCAAAAGTGGCAGCTGGCACTAAAGGAAAACTCTGCAGATTTTAAATCTCCAGATCTTGGCAGCTCTGCTTATGCACTAATTAACTACAACCACAGGTAATTATTAACTACAACCACAGACTTTGACACAAATTATTTTTTATTTTTTCTTTGCAGCCATAGCTGATGTTTATAGAAATGAGGGTAATGAGGCCTTCAAGAAAGGAGATTTCATCAATGCTATTCATTTTTACACCAAAGGAATTAAAATGAACTGCAATGAGAAAGAACTGAAGGCCAAACTGCACAACAACAGGGCTATTGCACATTCTAAACTTGGTAAGATGATGATATCCATTTTTTTCTATTTTGAAGCTATTGAGTTGTCAGTAGTAGTTTTCTGAAAAAGGTGATAATTTTGAATGCATGCCCGGAAAAATTTACATCTTATGTTGGCCTCTCAAATATACAAAGAAGTAACCTCTTACCCCAGATATCAATGAGCATCACAAGTTTTTTCCCAAAATTATAGTAATGGTAGTTGGTTTGCAACATGTTTGGCTAATCAGAGATATTTATTTCAATAACAGGAAATCACCAGGATTCACTAAGGGATGCAGAAGCAGCCATTGAGTTAAATCCAACTTTCCTTAAGGCAATTGTGAGAGGTTAGATATGTTAGCTGTGCTATAATAATAATAACAAAAGAACTCAACACTCTAAGGTTAAATGAGGTTAAATGGAGTTCAATCTTGTCTCAATTGACTTTAATTAAGAGGTCGAGACCACCCTGATGTACATTTGAATCCAGCTCTTGACTGCTACGCCATTACTTTCCATTAATCATGATAAGAATATTATTTTGAACAGGATGAAGAACTCAATGCGGAATGCAAAGCAAAATTTCAGCATGAATATTTTAGTTCCTTAAGTCCAATGAGTCACAGGTGTCAGATATGTTAAGAGAGTGTCCACGAGAGCACCGGGCAGTCGTGCTACAAGCCATCCCACCGATTTCAATGAAACTTTGGCAGTTTAAAGGGTCTACCCCAAAACTCAAAGAGACAAACTGGTTTCTGTCTTGGTTCTTCCGGGGGGGAGATAGACCACCCCCGGTTTTTCTTGGTTTTCACCAGGGAAATCGCTTCAAATAGGTAAAATGTATGAAACTCTCACGGCGATGGTCTTTAACCGATTACTTTGAGGATTTGCACACATATTTTTACATCCTTAGTTAATGTCTGCTGCGAGTATCATTCAGTTTGATTGACGGCTTGTCAATCAATAGAAGCAAATATACGACTTTGGTTTTAGACTTTTCGATTCATCCAAATATTTGACAACTTTGAGGTCAAATATCTCCCGTTGCCAGAATGCTACAACACTATTCCTAATTCCCCTTTATAACCCATTATTTCATTTCTGAAAATCATCAAAAAAATCTTTGGGCGCTACCGTATTTTTGTCTTGGATGCCTTTTAAAATCTGCGACTGTGACAAGTTTCTCTTAACTATACCTGTCACACAATTCTTGCTCTAGGCGGTCACTTGACAAAATAAACCTACATTTTTTAGCTCTTTATACAAGATGATTGATCAAGAAAGGTGAAAAATGTGAAATACTTTCGAGATTTTTTGTAGGATTGGAAAATTTGACGTTTAGAGAGATGCATGTAAACGAAAAATCAATGGGAAAATCGTAGCGTTTCTTTCTTCAGTCGTTTATTACTTTATTACTTTTTATTACAACTTCGGCTTTTACAGACGAGAAATTCTGCGCTCTCGCTCGAGAGCAAATATCAATACTTCTATCGGACTAAAAACTGTGCCTCTATCCCGAAAAAAAAATTAAAATAATGTTGTCGTTGTCACTTACCGCCATCGAACATTTCCATGCAGAACTCCGCTAAGCTAACATCTGTTGTGTGACCCGAAGACTCTTAGTAGGAATTATTCAAGCGCGTTGTTCATGCTATCTGCTAGATAACAATTTCAGAATAATCTGCAGATCTCTATGATTATTTGCCTGCTTCGATCGTAAAATATCTGCATATTTTTTTCAAGCATTCTATTACTACACATAAATCTTCATCTCTCTACATCGAGTGTTGCCGGCGTTTAATTGCGTGACTTGTAAAATTTTTAAATAAGAATCTGAGCCAGCGGTAATTTGACGAGTAGCCTTCCTACAAATTTCCCTTGATGAAATCCCAAGACATAGCCAGTTGTTTTCGTGAGCAAAGACAAGAAATATGAGAGGAAAGTGAGATGCAAATGTCTTCTTTTTTTTTTAGCTTAATATCAGCTTTACCCTCTCCTGCAGTCTTCGTCTAAATTTTGCAAGGTCTCTCCTTATCTTCTGCCTTGTTCGGTCAGTTTCGAATTCTGAAGCTAGATCATTGGCATCGGCCTCTCCGTCCTCATTCATATTTACAGAGGGGACCTCATCAATAAACCAATTTTTGTTACGGCAGATAACCGGCTGAAGTATCGAGCGATTTGCTGCTGTATCAACCGGTCAGTCTTAGACAACATTTCTGACTGGTGTCGTCTCTTAAACTCGATATTTGGGAAATCACATTAGAGGTGGTTGCCTTACTAGTTTCCTCCCTTGTCCAGCACACTAGATCTCTAGGAGATAATTCTCTGCTTTCTGAGAAAAGGTGACTGTTTTTTGTGTTTTCCAATGAGCCCATCCAAAGTCCTCTTGGCTAGTTAGGGGTTGTTCGTCAGAATTTTTACCTGAAGTCCGACCTGAAATGTAGCCATCCCCTATAGAATGGCAAGCCGGTCTTAGTCCATTTCCTCTTGATCTTATCCTAGGCGGAATTTTTTTTCTCGGCTTCACTGTGTTTGTCTTTGTCAGGATACATCCTTCTTTTAGCAAGAATATCTGGCTTTCTTGTTCCGTCTATGACGGATTGGGTATAGTTCTCGCGATGACCCGCGTTCAGAAATCTGTGCACGTTGCTGATAAGCACCCGCTTCTACGACTAGTTTGCTGAAAGTTTCTAATGTGATGAGCCTAGTGAGATCCTGAGGTGCTTCAAACTGTGCCAGTTGGTCTGCGCTATAAACTTGTCGCAGTTCTTAAGTCAGAGGGAGGATCGCCCACCTCTATCTATGTGAGCGCTTCTACAATACCTGCGTATCCCTAGCAATCATATGATATAAAGTTCATCTCAGTCACAAATCACCAGTTAGGAAAACTGATATTCAGATAAGCGCTCTTCTTGCCCTTCTCCTTATTCATTGTCGACTCTAAGATAGCAGCTACAGTACGCGTTCTATTTAGGTTTACAGTCACCTTGCCGCCACCGGAAGGACTCGCCACCAGCTTTGATTTCTTCTGCCATCTGCAGATTCATCTCTCTCTCACTTTATGTCTCCGATTTTTATGAGGAGGATACTGGCATTTACGAACCCGAAGGCCTGAATCTCACACCAAGTTGTGCACGATATTTGAGGTACATCGTGAAATTGCGGCCTTCGTAATCTCCAAATAAGCCAATACGCGCTTGAATAAGCTTCATCTCGGATGAAACGCATGTTTGGAATACATCGACGTCTCTCAAATGTTTTTTTTTTAAGCTGTATACCCACAAATTTAGAGGTGTGAGCTGTTGCCGTCCCTGGCCAGCGCGAGAAAAGTAACATTTGGTTGTACATTTTGTTGCAAATGAAGAAGACAACTGCACCATCTTGACTTTATCAATTCGAGTGTTAGATTGAATTTAGGGCTTTTTAGACACTCGATTTCTTATATGGCATCACTATGAAGACGTAATACAACTGATACACCTACACTACATAGGATTAACAATGTCTGTTGCGCTGTTGCGAGAAGGAGGAAAATATTACCGGAAGTGTACGCTCTTTTTAAAAAGAGTTTCAGAGACGTTTCAGAGATGTCTATCTTTGATCGGCTGTCACAAAAAAATGACCCCCACTTAAATTTACTAGGAAAAATGAACTTACCAAATCCTTGAAAAAATTGGAATTCATTTGACCGATACGCCGGTTGTTTCAATTTTTCTTTTTCCTCGGGCTGCTATGTAACAGTTCATAAGTGACTCATGAATAAAGTGTTTTGAAATACCGTTCGGGATTTGCCTTTTTTTTTCTGCGTGCAAATCAAGGGTAGACAAAGTTTTTAAAACATTTGACTAAAATTTCATGGAGTTCACCTCGATAATTTTCGTCGGCCAGAGTCAAGACGCGCCAAGCTAAGCAAGATCGTCCTCCAGTAAAACAATTTCCCAAAGAATAAACGTGGCGAGCGTGAGGAAACGCACATTTTTTTCATCATTGTGATCAAAGTCCAATGATGTACCTAAATTGGTACTTACGGTGTCAAACCATTGATTATGACAGGGTGAGCTTAGTTTTTCTGTCGAGGTCGACGTGACTTCACATTAAAAGCATTTTTGACGGAACAAACTAGTGAGCATCACTGCACGAACCGAGAAAGTAAAAACTTGTATTTATCTCCCACGCGTTTCGTCTGACAATAGTAGACTTCATCAAGGATTTTTTCAAGCAGGGTAAATAAGCTTCCTCATATACAAATAGTAAATAAGTTATCTCTTTACTATTGAAGTCAGTGGATAGAATACGCCAGGTGCGCCTACGGTGTTATACATGCGTGACATTTTCCGGACGTTACATGTAGCTTGGCATGTAGCTTGTGAGGCGTGAGTGGCCCAGTGGTCAGAGCGCTGGACTCTGGGTCGGACGGCCCGGGTTCGAGTCCTGGATGGGGCACTACGTTGTGGCCTTAAGCAAGTCGCTTCACTCACCTTGCTTCGTCTTCTCGGATAAGACGTTAAGCCGGAGGTCCCGTCTCCTGCAGGGTTTGGGGTAGGAGACGTTAATTTCCCACGCACGAGATTACTGTGTGATGGATGTCCTCCCCTGGGTTGGGTTGGGTGGGTTTGTAACTTGTAAGGCGCATCTGTTTATTCATATAGATATTTGCGCCGAATAAATTAAGGATGATGAACCATGTACGAGTACGTGATCCGTTGAAGGGTCACAGATTTAGTGTAAATATTTCACTCCTCAACATCACCCAATGTCTCTAGAGGTCTTAGAACGTGTCATTATATGGAGTTGCCTTCTGCGGGTAGAAGACTACAAGCGAATTTCTCAGGCGTAATTGCCTTTGATTTCTCAATTGATGTTATCGCAAACACAGTTTTTGGGAGTCACGAGACAAAAAAAACTTATCAGGACCTAGTTTCATGTTCTAATGGAAATAAATAGCAAATAAAAAAAACACATTTTCTTGAGAAATAAAGTCACAAATGACGGGGTTCTCCGAAACAAATAATGATAAAAAAAAAGATTTCAGTTCTGGTCAATATTGACTTTTCATGGCCTACTTCCAAATCTGAGGGAACGTGCTGAGGGAATAAAAAAACATAAATGTGTGATAATGCAAGTAAGAGAATGAAAATACAAATAAAGAAAAGGGAGAAAACATAGGAACCCGTGTTGCAGCGTGCAGATATCTTTTGAACCAGACCTAGACACATAAGCCCGACACCGGCCAGAGAAACTCGAAAGAGTCCTGTATATGAACTAGCTCGCACGTGCACGCAGGAAAGGCCATGACAATCAGCGAAAATAATAGCAAATGCAGATGATATTTGCAGTCAAAAAACAACAAAATAAGATAACAGAAGGATTAGGAACTTTTTAGAAGTGTCTTCTTGAAAAAAAAAAAACACAAGCAATTTTTACTTCTCATAAAAGGTCACACAGTGACCCTACAAATACTATTCCTATACGTGGAATTTATTGATGGTAGAAAGTGGAAAAAACATTTTCCACTCTTATTTTCTGGAAACGCGGCGTAGTTAATGAATTTATGAGGCTATTGATATTTTACAAATAGAGAAGCCTTGACTGTGCTCTGTTCTGTTATAAAGCACGCAGGAAGCGGCTAGAGCACGAAAGAAGTGTAGGGAGAAACACGAGACGTAGTCGAGTGCTTCTTTCCACTTCTTGAGTGCTCTAGCCGCTTCTTAAGTGCTTTATAACAGAACAGAGCACAGTCAAGGCTTCTCTATTTGTTTTATAATTACCCAAGCATTACTTTCAATTTCCAAAACAAACTTTATTTCCAAAGCGAACAACAATGTCGTCAGCATGCTCTATACTCTCATAAAGCACACTGCAATAAGCCAATCAGAATCCTTGTTAGAATGATTCAAATAATCTGATTGGCTGTACAAGACTAAAGCTGTCAAAAGTGTCAAACCATCGAAGTCCAAAAACCATCAAAGTTCACATTCTACTATAGTTTACAAACTAAAATAGTTCGGCAAGTCGAACTTGACAATTTTGCGTGAAGTTTTTGAGTCTCTAATACAGAATCTTGAAGTGAAATGTTCAGTGAACTTCAGCCGAATTATGGCTCATAAATACACGCGAGTTTTTTCCACATGACAAGGCAGAAAACAAACTATTCAAGGCGAGTGTTTTTGAATGAACGACAGCCGAATTCACCGGAACATAAAGATCGCTCGTGATGAAAGCGCCGCAAAACTCGGTTGCAGTGGCTGATGTGAATTGCTCTAGCTCAGCTCTATGCTCTTTACTCTCATAGAGCACGCTCTTTCAACCAATGACAGCGTGCGTTATATGCGAACTTTATTATAATTCTTAACAAATAAGGGGGGCAGAGTTTCCCGTCATTCGCGGTATGGAAAAGCCGAAGTTGTTACTCTCGGAACTTGTACATCAACAAGCAGGCGACATGTGACCTTAAAATCTCCTCTCCTGATTATAATGATAATAGACGATCAAAGTATAGGCTAATGAATGTTTTGTTCTGTACAAGAGCCCTATGTCCTGATTTTAGCAAATCTTCAAAGTAATAAACAAACTGAAGAAAGAAACGCTACGATTTTCCCATTGATTTTCCGTCAACATGCATCTCTCTAAACGTGAAATTTTCCATTCCTACAAATTATCTCGAAAGTTCTTCACATTTTTCAGCTTTCTTGACCAATCATCTTGTATAAAGAGCTAAAAAATGTAGGTTTATTTTGTCAAGTGACCGCCTAGAGCAAGAATTGCGTGACAGGTGTAGTTGAGAGAAACTTGTCACAGTCGCAGATTTTAAAAGGTATCCAAGACAAAAATACGGTAATGCCCAAAGATTTTTTTGATGATTTTCAGAGATGTAATGATGGGTTATTAAGGGTAATTAAGATTAGTGTTGTAGCTTTCTGGCAACGGGAGATATTTGACCTCAAAGTTGTCAAATATTTAGATGAATCGAAAAGTCTAAAAATACCATCGTATATTTGTCTCTGTTGATTGACAAGCCGTCGATCAAACTGACTGATACTCGCGGCAGCCATTAATTAAGGATGTTAAAATATGTGTGCAAATCTTAAAAGTAATCGGTTTAATACCATCGCAGTGAGAGCTTCATACATTTTACCTATTTGAAGCGATTTCCTTGGTGAAAACCAAGAAAAAGCAGGGGGTGGTCTATCTCCCCCCGGAAAGAAACGAAACAGAAATCAGTCTGTTTTCTGGAGTTTTGGGTTAGACCCTTTAAACTGACAAAGTTTCATTGAAATCGGTGAGATGGCATGTAGCACGACTGCCCGGTGCTCTCGTGGACACGCTCTGAAGTCACTATCTAGCTGTTTTAAAAAGAAGGATCAGGACTTACCTAACTTTTAGTGTTTTTGTGGCAGTTGTTGATCCCAATTTAAGTGTTCTTAGAAGTTTCAGTTGTCTGTAAGGCTAAATAAATCTAACAAACCTAATAGGGCCTGTTTATTCTTTTCCGTTTAGTTTTTTTGTATTGTTTTGTTTTGTTTTGTTTTTTTCTTCTGGTCTGTAATGATTTCAATGGTTTCAGGTTCTTTTCTCAGCATTGAGCTACAGTAATAGTATGCTTCTTTGTGTTGTTGCCTACAGGAGCCACTGCTTGTGTTGAATTGAAGAGATTTGAAGAAGCAACCACTTGGTGTGATAAGGGACTAGCTGTATCCTTTGAAGGAATCTTTCATTTTTAACCGTGGGTATAATGGAAAAAAGTTTCCATAATTTGATGTTTCAAGGGAGAAAATACAAAGAAGGGTATTAATTATGATGGGAACTTGTCAGCTCATATACTTTAAGTATGTGTGATTAAAAACAAAGGAGAAGTTATTACCTCATGACTTATTAATGAAATTACTCCTTTTAGCCAATTTGACTTAGTTCTACTATCCATGCCAATAACTGGTACATTAGTTTAAATAACCCTTTAATTTCCCAGACCAAATTTGTAATTGTCCTTACTGTCAACCATACAATTCTTGTAATGTTAGTACAGAGAATTTATTATTGCATCAACTAACTATTTTTAAATTGATATATTTTTTTTTACTTTCAACACTTATCTGATTGATATTGTATTGCTATTGTAAGGAGAAATTCTCTTTTGGTCACTCACGGGAGTTAAAGGGTTAGAAGACTAATATTCATCCAGTTTATACATAAAACTTGGGTAGATGATCTCTCTAAAACAAGCCAGAACAAAAAGCTCTTTAATGTTTACATATCTTATGCAGACTTTCTGCCTTCGACCTTTTGCCTCTACTTAGAGACTCAGAAACTTTCGTTGTGCTTTCCTATGGACAAATAAAAATTTTAAAGATATGTATTTATTTTATGTATTTTTGTTTTTTCCACATTTTTAACCCTTAACATAAAAAAAAAGATTGACAAAAACAATGGGATCTTGTCGTCATTAAGACTTCACTCTGTCAGTGAAGTGGGAGATAAGTCCATGGAGGAAAAAGATCCTATTAGTCATGACCACGGTAGTGCAAGTGCAGGTGATGTCAAGAAAGTCATAGATCAGGGAAAAGAAGCCATAGAGTACCACAACCTACGTCTTAAAATAGCTAAAGAAGTAGGAGACAAGCATGGGGAGGGTACTGCTTATGGCAATCTTGGCAATGCTTATTTTAGTCTGGGTGATTTCAAAAAAGCCATAGAGTACCACAACCTACATCTTAAAATAGCTAAAGAAGTAGGAGACAAGCATGGGGAGGGTGCTGCTTATGGCAATCTTGGCAATGCTTATCACAGACTGGGTGATTTCAAAAAAGCCATAGAGTACCACAACCTACATCTTAAAATAGCTAAAGAAGTAGGAGACAAGCGTGGGGAGGGTGCTGCTTATGGCAATCTTGGCAATGCTTATTTTAGTCTGGGTGATTTCAAAAAAGCCATAGAGTACCACAACCTACATCTTAAAATAGCTAAAGAAGTAGGAGACAAGCATGGGGAGGGTGCTGCTTATGGCAATCTTGGCAATGCTTATCACAGACTGGGTGATTTCAAAAAAGCCATAGAGTACCACAACCTACATCTTAAAATAGCTAAAGAAGTAGGAGACAAGCGTGGGGAGGGTGCTGCTTATGGCAATCTTGGCAATGCTTATTTTAGTCTGGGTGATTTCAAAAAAGCCATAGAGTACCACAACCTACATCTTAAAATAGCTAAAGAAGTAGGAGACAAGCATGGGGAGGGTGCTGCTTATGGCAATCTTGGCAATGCTTATCACAGTCTGGGTGATTTCAAAAAAGGCATAGAGTACCACAACCTACATCTTAAAATAGCTAAAGAAGTAGGAGACAAGCATGGGGAGGGTGCTGCTTATGGCAATCTTGGCAATCCTTATCTTATTCTGGGTGATTTCAAAAAAGCCATAGACAACTACAACCTACATCTTAAAATAGCTAAAGAAGTAGGAGACAAGCATGGGGAGGGTAACGCTTATGGCAATCTTGGCAATTCTTATCACCGTCTGGGTGATTTCAAAAAAGGCATAGAGTACCACAACCTACATCTTAAAATAGCTAAAGAAGTAGGAGACAAGCGTGGGGAGGGTAACGCTTATGGCAATCTTGGCAATGCTTATCACCGTCTGGGTGATTTCAAAAAAGCCATAGAGTGCCACAACCTAAATCTTAAAATCGCTAGAGAAGTAGAAGACAAGCGTCGGGAGGGTAACGCTTATGGCAATCTTGGCATTGCTCATGGCAGTCTGGGTGATTTCAAAAAAGCCATAGAGTACCACCACCTACATTTTAAAATAGCTAAAGAAGTAGGAGACAAGCATGGGAGGGTGCTGCTTATGGCAATCTTGGCAATGCTTATGACAGTCTGGGTGATTTCAAAAAAAGCCATAGAGTACCACAACCTACATCTTATAATAGCTCAAGAATTAGGAGACAAATCCTGGGAGGCAATTACCTACTCTTCATTAGGATTGGTTTTTGAGTTACAAGGTAGACTGCCAAAAGCCGTTGAATATTATCAAGCTAGCATAAACTTATTCAATTCCTTGAGAGCACTTCTAATATCTAAAGATGAGTGGAAAGTTAATTTTCGAAATCAGCATCAAAAGGCGTATACGGGTTTGTGGAGAGTTCTCGTAGAACAAGGTAATGTAGATGAAGCCTTATTTGTTGCTGAGAAAGGACGAGCTCAAGCTCTGACCGACCTCATGGAATCCAGTTTTTGTGGTGGAACAAGTCACCACAAGGGAGAAGATGAAGATTGCGCAGTTTTAAAAAAACGTTCCATCCAACACTGTCTTTCAGGCAGTGGACAAAGCTAACGTCAATCTTTGGGTTGTGTCTGAAGGAAAACAAGTCTACTTAAGACAATGTAAACTCAAAGGTTTTGGTTCAGAGAATAGTGGATCTAGCCTGTTCTTTGAGTCGTTCATGCTCGGTGTCTATACACAACTTGGTGTTCGTTCTAATGTGAGATGCGAGAATCGATCTTTAGATGCTTTGAGGGAGGGCCGTTCAAAAGTGGATGAGAAAACCAAAGAAGCCAAGCCTCAACCTCACATCCAACAAGACGGATGCTTGAGCACTTTGTATGATATCGTTATGATGCCGGTGGCTGACTTGATTGAAGGGGATGAGCTACTCATTATTCCTGATGGACCCCTGTGGATCGCTCCTTACGCTGCATTGAAGGATGGTAATTCTAAATACCTGTGTGAATCGTTCACAATCCGAGTCGCTCCATCGTTAGAAAGTCTTAGACTCATTGCTGATTGCCCAGATGATTATCACAAAAGCAGCGGTGCGTTACTTGTAGGAGATCCGTGGGTATCCGAGGTTACTAACAGCGAGGGAGAGAAAGTCCTCAAGCAGCTTCCGTGTGCTAAAGAAGAAGTAGAAATGATCGGAAAAATTCTGAATATCACACCAATCATTGGCAGTCAGGCCACGAAACAAGAGGTGTTGAAAAGACTCAGTTCCGTTTCCCTAGTTCACTTTGCGGCACACGGATGTATGGAAACTGGCGAAATTGCTCTTACACCTGACCCACACCGAATGTCTACTGTGCCAACGGAGGAGGATTACATTTTAACAATTGGAGATGTGTTGAATGCTCAACTTCGGGCCAAACTTGTTGTGCTTAGTTGCTGCCACAGCGGCCGGGGCGAGATCAAGGCTGAAGGTGTGGTTGGCATTGCACGCGCTTTTATGGGGGCTGGTGCTCGATCTATTGTGGTGTCCCTGTGGGCGATTGATGACGAGGCTACTCTTGAGTTCATGAAACACTTTTATCAACAACTTGCAGGAGGTAAACCAGCAAGCGAGTCACTGAACCTGGCCATGAAAAGCCTCAGAGAATCAGACACGTTCCGCGACATCAAATACTGGGCGCCCTTTTTGCTGATTGGAGATGACGTCACTCTGGACTTCTTGGCAAAGGAAAGAGAAAATTTAATTTGAATATGAAATCACATAAATGAAAACTTTTTATTTCATCTCAAATGAATGACGCAGGAACTTGGAAGGTTTAAATGCTTCTCCATTTTGGCGCTTTTTGGCTATTTTTCATTACTTTTCCCTTTTTTGTTAAATGGAACTTGAGATGTGTGACTTTACCTTGGTGAAGAAATAAAACAGACTATTTCAGTATATTTTGTTCAGTGAAATTGCTATTTTTTTACCTTTACAAATTTAGATGCTTCCGAAGAGAACAAGATGCAACAAGGCTTCTGCTGTTAATGCCTGAAGTTGTTGAAAACGACTACGAGGTTTTCGTTTCGCCAAAATGACACTCAGATCTATTCCTTTATTGCAATCAGTTATGTGTAAAATAATTTAAAGGTTTCTTTTCTTGTACACAACCAGGAGCTTGTCCACCAGGTTTTAATTACGTTGAAACTCTAAGCTTTTGATAAGCAAAGAAACAGTTTGTCATTTGCAAAAGGTGGTGAAATTTTAATTTCAAAAATCTGATTTGCAAAATTAGTAGCCATATGTGAATTGATCTTAATGGTTTTTCTACGTCATAAATTACTTTGATGCAATTTGCAATTATCTTTACAAAGAATTGATTATAACTTTTATAAAATAACTTTTTTCCAATCCATTTTAATGAAATCTAATTCCATCAGTGCCAAGATTGCCATTCTAAGCTTAATTTGAAGAAGTAATCATCAGAGATGATGTTGTTGAATTTACTGACCATATGTTAGAGACATTAGACCTACTATCAGTGGTGTGGCCAGCCTCTAGTTCCGTGGGCCCGGCCTACAATTGTTTTCCGCCCGCTTGACTTTTCTAATATGACTCTTACAAATGTTGAAAAAAAAATTGAAATTTCTCAGGAAAAAGGCCTACAACAAGTCAAAGAGCTGGCTACAACGGCCTGCTTTCAATCAAACGAGTTTGATCAATTTTAGTCCGTTTTATCAAACGCTCATCAGTTTGTTTTAGAGAACGACGACAGAGACAACTTGTCTATGCAATCTAAACAAGGAAATAGCGAAGCAGAGTTTACTTTAACTGAAGTTTCCATTGCTGTGACTTTTAATGTAGGTGACATGGAATTTGCTGTTTTCATTAGGAAAATATTTACGCCAATAAATTAGGGAAATACTTGAAGTAAGCCATGTAGTCCTCAATGGGAATTATTTTGGTGAAAATGTTCATGAATAAATGTAAATCTAGGCCGTAGTTAAAAAGGTTCAGGGCTTCAGGATAAAAACTTGCATTTTTTTGAAAATTTCCTGTTCAAATTTTTTTCAGGGCTTTAAATTTACTTTAGTATAATTTGGAGATGTCTGATGATATCTTTCTTAGATCTAAGAATTTATACTTAGGTATTCAGAGCACGCTTTGTAATTAGAACCCGTTATGTGGTCAAAAGTTTAAGGTATACTGTATCACAGCTGTTTTAAAAGAATTTTTTGTCAAATCAATGTTAATTTTTGACAGATTTTCATAACTACCATTGGTATATGCTGATATAAAATGTAATAGTTAACCTTGCACATGGTTGAATATGATGTAACGTAGGATTTTAAAAACAAGCTGGGACAATTTCGACTAAACATTCTTTTTATAATATCAGTGTATTTGGTGTGAATTGTTTTGATGCTATTTGTATTTAAAGTTGAAGCTATTTGTTCATTTACCTAAGTTTTTATTCATTGACTCATTAACTCCCAAGTTGTGAAGAAAAATTCTCCCAACTGATAAGAATGTGTTTCTTTGTTGCTTCATTCTGAGAATTCGATGAAACATAACGTTTCTAGTGAAAAATAATCCGCTAGTTTAGATTTTCTCTAATTCTTATTGACACCATGTTTGTCGGTGCATTAATTTTGTGAGGAGAATTTAAGTTATGACCAATCTTGGGAATAAATGGGTTCATTTTAGTGTCTCCGTTTAGCGTGTACTTTACTTAATGCCTTGAACAATTTAATGCAGTTTGTATTGTACTTTTTTTTACTTTTTTGTGTAAGAGAAATAGAGAGTGTATAAAATACAAAAACTGCCTTTGTTTTCATTGTCTGTCTCCATATTCTAAGGATTCGAGGACTTCAATGCTTGTTTTGACCCGCGCGCGCCAAGTTGATAATCATTGCAGCTGACAGTGTACTGACATTCCATGTTTCAAGCGCTCGTCGACTCTTCGATTGTGTCTCTTTCACTGTCTACCGTTCTCCATATTGTCACACGATTTTGAATGCCGACGGACGTGTTCTTACTGTTACCTGTGTGCGCCCTTTTTACCTTTTTACACCTTTTCACATTTGTGCATCTGTTTTTTCTCCTTCCTTTTCTTCCTTCCCTTTTTTTCATCGTACTTTTCCTTTATTCCCATTTTTACACGCACTTCTTTCATCGCCCTCAACTTTATTCTTCTACGCGCCTCATTAGACGCGACTTTTTCCTTGTCTGTTTCAGTTTTCATTCGTCTCAATCCTCGCGCAACGTCAGGTCTCTTGCAACTCATATACCTTCTTATTTCCCCAGAGTAGTTGTTATTATGCTTATTTTGTTCACTTTAGAATGCTGTCCTCTTAGCATCATGTCTAGTAAAATCTTAGTTTTCCTTTCGACTCATTCCCAGTCCACAGGGGGTCTCAATTTTAAGTCCCACTTGCCAGTGTTTGCTCTCCTCGGTCCCCTCATCACAGTAGCAGCTATAAAACGAAAGAGCTCCCTCCATGTCTCTGCGACATAATCGATGCATTTTGTTGGAAACGAGTCCTTTAATATCCAAATTAAGGCTTCTTCTGTCACTGATTGGGAATGGATCAAACTCTCGCCCAGGGTCCACCTACATCGCGAGTCCAAGATGGCAGCAGGCCAATCCAAAGACTTCTCCGAGTCGGTAACCGTCATCTTGGATGTAGACGCAGAGAGGAACTTGAAAAAGTGTTTTTACAAGACAATAATCAAGAAAGGTTAAGTTATTGTAATGCTTCCTAAGAGGTAGTCGATAACAGCCCGAGAGATTCATTAGGAGCAAACACGTTCCGTCGATTATTGGACTCCATGTCTCCTTACGTTGTAGAACAAACTCCTCGAATACGTACGCCTATATGCCCCTCTCCTCCTCCCCTAAATAGCACTATACATCCCTTTATTGAAACTTTTAAAATTATACAGCACAATACAACATTATACCCCTGAGTAGCACTGTAAATCCGTGAAATGAAGTAACTGTGCAGCGCATCACAACAATATGAACCCCTAAATAGTACTATGCTTCCCTCTACTGAATTTTTTTCAGCATACAGCGCTCTATAAACTATTGCTCCAATTTAGCACGAAAATAATTGTGGATATTTGTCCGCGGACATCATCTATTCCAAGATGCCAAAACTGTGAGCTTCGAAGGACAATGTCCAAGGACAAATATCCGAACATATTTTCGTGCAAAAGAGAGGCTATTGTGATTTTTATCCTTCAGTTATTTTGCAACGCTCGTGAAAGAATCTCTATGAACAGTTCACTGAATTGAATTAAATTTGAAACGAAGACTTATCGAGGTAGTCGTAAGGTTTGCAAATTGGGGAATATCGCTTGCGGGGTATTCTCGGATACCACCCAGTATTAGCTGGGGGATATTTAGTCATTTGCGGCATTTACACCAATTACACGCGAGGAAAAATATTTGATGGATCATAAAAAGCAACAAGTACCCCTAGATAGCACTATACTTCCCTCTTCCACAATTTACATCACAATACAGGGCTATAAAACAACATGTACCCTTAAATAGTACTATACTTCTCTCTTCTGCAGTTTACATCACTATACAGCGCTATACAACAACAATATGTACCCCTAGATACCACTATACTTCACTCTTCTGCACTCTACATCACGATACAGCGCTATAAAACAACATGTACCCTTAAATAATACTATACTTCTCTCTTCTGAAGTTTAGATCACTATACAGCGCTATACAATAATATCTACCCTTAGATAGCATTATACTTCTCGCTACTGCAGTTTATATCACTATACAGCGCTATACAACAATATGTACCCCTAGATACCACTATACTTCACTCTTCTGCACTCTACATCACGATACAGCGCTATACAACAATATCTTCCCCTAGATAGCATTATACCTCTCGCTACTGCAGTTTACATTACTATACAGCTCTCTACAACAATATTTACCCCTAAGTAACCTTGATCGGCATAACAGAATACATACATCGAAATTTTCCATGCTTTGTGTCTTTCTCCAAGGTTCATTAAATACTCGATGAAAACCTTTGCGTCGTTCAAAGAAAACGCAGCATTTTCCAGCGCAGTCGTGACTCGTTTGACGTGAAGACACAGAGATGGCGAGTTGATTAAGTCTTTAAATTTCAAACTCTTAAAGGCGGGAAATATTTCTGAAACAAAATCATTCACGAACATCACTTTTAATTCTGAATAATGTAAATTCTATTAACGTTTACTTTAGATAATAAATTTTACTCCAACGATACAAAGGAATCAATACACTAAGCAATACCTTCAACAAGACACAGTTACACAGTTGTAAATCTCCATCCTCATCCTCAGTAGAACTATGCTATCACAAAGGTGGAATAATCGCGGAAGAATAACCGCGCTTAAGACCTTCCTTTATACCAAGGAATTCGTGCCACTGGATTCGACATGTGCCAGTAACCTACTTACACATTTAAGGTGACGTTCAGCTAAGATCAGCAAACTGTTTTTTTTTTTTTTCTTCATTTTAAACGATTCCAATCCTAATAGTGGTATCATATTTGCATAAGAAAGCTAATGTCAACTCTAGACTCTGCATTAATTTTTTTTTCATGAAATGAAACACAACAAAGCAGAGATACCACGTATTTAAATCACTAACCGTTTAAACATTTTCTTCCACATGACGCTCTTAACGGGCTCAACGAGCTGCCAAAATTCTCTTCAAATCCGTTTTCGTTCGTGTGATAGCTTGACCTCTATTTCGATTTGACAGTTCAGTTCGACAGTTTGACTGTTAAACCTCAAATGAAGATTAGTAGACACCAGTTGAATAGATTTATGAATTTGCTTAACGGCGAATGAACGCATTGAAATCAAAATTGATTTTCTTTAAGCTCAGCTCACTGAACTACAAATCTGCTGTCAGATGATTAACGTGGATGCTATTCTAGTCCCTTAAGACGACGAAAACTACAACTAAAGGGCGCCTAAAGACTATATAGTTTTTATAGTTTTGAGGCGCCCTTGAGATTCTTATCCTATTCAATTTCAAGCTTGACTTTTCCATTTCACTTTTGTATTTTTGGCCATTCTCTGAACCGTTTTTGTCAAGTTACTGAACCAAAGGACAGTTAGCTGAACCGTTTGTCATTTCGACACTGAACCATTTCAGTTAACACTTGGCCACTCATGTTTTCATTGAATCAGTTCAACAAGGGTGGCTACACAGCTCCTCAATTGATTGTATAAACCATTTTTGTTTGAATATTTTATTTAACCAAATGCGACTTGTCCATTTGTATTTTAAATAAATCTCCTAGGATAAGATAAATCGTTCTCCAAAAGACAATTAGACTCTATCTGTTATTACAAACCGACTCTATTTTTGTATTTTTATGATGACAGCTGCCCATATGTGGGCTCTTCTTTCGATTTTAGTTGGAGAATTTCCGGCTTCAAGCTTGCACAGATTTGTGGGCCAAGGAACTCCCTGTTTAGTTTTCACAACGCGCCGTTGCGATTCTCCGTTCCACGACATAGCTTTCAAGTCTTTCTTATTACTTTCTCTGTCTTAGTGACTTTGAAACATTTTCATGACGAACAGAGGAAGCAAGGTCGTAAAATAGTCAAACGTGCCTTCCATTTCCGCGACAGAGGTAAGAACGCATGGTTGTACCAGATTTTTGAGTGTAAGGTAAATACTTTTATTTTAAATTTTTTTAGTTGAGATTTCCTCCTTCAAATGTTCCTCATCTTTCCGAACTTTCTCTGATTTCCGACAATGAAAGACGTTCCTGCAGTTAAGTGACGACGATTGCCAACTTTTACTTTATTCTGGCGTGTATTAATTGTATTGCCGCTTCGTGTTAGTTACAAGCTTATTAAGCTGAGCTTGTTTGAACAAGTTACAGCTGTCGAATTCACAAAAATTCGCAAGCAATGCCTGGCATTTACCTTGGACAAAATAAGTAATTCGGGAGAGTTACAAAGGATATCCAAATTATCGATTTGATTCAGTGCAAGCTCTTTTGATCGCAACACTTTCAGTTTCGTTTGCGTGTCGTTAAGAACAAAGCATCCACATCCTTCAGCCTGATGATGACGGAGAGTACAAAAAATCTTTGTGTACAAGATGATTCAGGTTAGCAAATATAGTGATATGCCTATACGGCCAAGCCATAAGGTTATGCGGTAATTTAAAAAATACAACAACCCGGCGAAACTTGAGAAAACCCAAAAGATGGCTACAATGAGATATGTGCGCTTCAAAGTTACAGTATGTCTGTATCTCAGCCCCAACATCAGGGCTAGAAGCTTGTCCACGCTTATGGCCGTCATCGTTGACAAAGACACTCCACATAATGTAGGCTGCGTCCCTTGCGTGTTGACAGAGACTCCAGTGTTCGTGAACCAAGGACATATAGTAAGTAGCCATGATAGACTGGCTAAAAATGCCAACCAACAGGTCAGTTGTTGCCAGACAACGATACAAGAGTTTGGACGGCGGGTGAAGTGAAGATTCCTTGTGAAGGGCAAAAAAGATAAGAGAATTCCCAAGACTGGTTATGAAGGGAGGAGAACATAAACTGCTGAGTAGTAGATGGATTGTGGTTTAAATCTATTTACCAAAGAAGGGGTGCTCCATCTTCGGTTAGATTTGTTTCCGCTATCATTCTGCAGTCGTTTAGTTTTTTTCTTCAGAATACGTATGATCGCAAAAGGAAATATTTCGTCTTGAGAGCACCTGCCCAGCGTTGATCACTTAAACTTTACTTTTTTCAGAATAATCATATGAAAACTTTTTCAGTCGCGTTTACTCTTTTGAAATGCTCGGAAATACTGTCAGTTGTGTACAAAAAAAATGGTGAACCATTTTTCTTAAAGCCTTTCTTTTGCCTCAGCTATGATTTATCGAAACGAGGTAAGAACAAAACATTTGCAAATGTTAATATTTTATAGCGCGATAGACAATCCTTCGTCGCGCAGACGAACAATCATTTTATTCAGGTAGAGCGCATTTATCGAAAACAAAAAAAAAATTATTCATCATTTAATTTCGTTACTCAATAATCACTTTCTTCGCTTTTTCTTCAGGTTACTCGTAACTGCATGTAACGAGAGATATTTTTGTCTTGAAAGCGCCTGCCAGGCTGCAATCACGTAGACCTTTTCATTGAAACTTTCTCAGTAATACGGTTCACTTATTTAACATGCGAATACTCCATGCTTCTTCTGTCACATGAGCTGTTAATTTCTTCCCAGGAGTCGCATTAAATATAACTTTTTGTAAATTTCTTTTTAACGGGTAATTCTGTCATGTTATTCCATCAATAAACTCTAAAAGTTCCCTCCAAATTTAAGAAAGGTTTTTTTATAGCAAATTTCCCTGCAAATTGTCTTTGTCAATTAAGAGAGGCTGGATGTTTGTCGCCTAACTGTGTTGCGCGGTAAGTTTAATCTTTGAATAACTTTGCGCTAAGAGGTAAAAATAAAAATAAATAATTTCCTTTTTTTTATCACTCACAGTATAAGGCAAAAACTGTCCCTACTAAGGAAGAGTGACGTTGATAGGATAAATGAGTAAGTGTTGATAGAAAGTCTGAAGAACAACCCGAGGAAGACCTGACTCAACGAAGTGTCTCTTTAATTGTCTGCTTCACTTTTTGTCTCACTTCACTCATCTTCCAGAATTAGCAGTTTATTTAGATATACTGTCATTCTTTCGTTTTCTGCAGCGTGGTTAATTATCAATTCCAAAAGAGGTTTATCAAACAAGTTTAAAGAAATAAAGAAGCGAAAATCAGGAATAATAAATCGCTCAGAAGTAGAAGAAATGGTTTCCACAAAACTTGAATATATTACATATTTTCAAACGACGATAATGTTTTTCATGCAATATTGTCTCCCCTTCCCCACGTCCCTTAATTTAGGATTAAAAGAGTGACCGATCTGGAGGCAAAGTCTGTAACAACCATTTACAGTCAGTTTCATTTCGCACCCTTTTGTGATTGCGTTACGCACAGGAAGCCCATGAGCGTGAGAATGCTTATCTTCGCCTTCCCCTTCCTTGCTCGGCATTGTTTGAAATTGCTTTGTTAGCTAAAATGCCGACATGTTGCTACTCTGAGCTCGTTGGTGGTTCTTGTAGTTCCCGCTAGACCAGTGGAGAAAGTAAATGCATAGTCCTAACTAAGTGCAAAAGAGACATCCAAGGTCATCTTAAAACATATAAATGCCATGATGCTCAGCTGAAAAAAGTGAGTTCATTCTTCTTCTCGCCAGAGCAGGAAATTATCTCATTATCAAACATGTCAAGAATGTTTAGCAAAGGCAAATACTGTATCACTCTTTGTCCTGCTTTTCTATTTTGCACTAAGATCAATGAGGTTATATCGTGACACAGTTCAACGCCCTTGATTTTATCTTTGCTTTAAGATTTATTTCTTGAATCCACGTAAACGCTTGAATCCAAGACAACAGGATGCTAAACAGCATTATATGTTGTCATGAAATATAAAGCATTGGTCCATGTCTACAATTTATTTATTTATTTATCATCCATTCCTTCCTTCTTTCATTCCTTCATTTTTACATTTATTTATTTATTTATTTATCCATTCATTCATTTATTTAATAAGTACACATATTATATAACTATTATAAATAAGATCCATTATATTTACATTATTTTACGAAATGGGTCTGGGGGAGGGCCGGGGCTCGTATTGAATTGCGCACCCTCTTCACCAAACTAAGTTCCCATGATATGAAATTTCGTTTGTTTGTTTCGTTGTCTTATGTTTTTGTTTGTGCGTGTATGTGTGTTTGTTTGTTGGTTTGCTTGTTTGTTTTGCTTTTTATTTCTATCATTCTGAGTGAACAAGTAAACGACTTCGCTTTTTCAGGGATATTTGAAGTCGAGGAAAGCCATAAAGAACTTTCAATTTGTCCCAGACATAAAGACAACTTCGGGACTAGATGGTTATGCAATTAAAAAAAAATGCTCCTGTCCATCGGATTGGGCTCCACATGGGAAGTCTTCTCGGAAAGGTGATCGAGGCATGACTCTGGAACAGTCTCAAAAGCTTTATGCTTTAACATCTACACTTCAGTTCCGGTGGGAGTCACGTGAGTATACATCAGAATACCATCCTGACCGCCACCTTGATAAGAAATAGTATCAGGATAGCAGAAGAGAAAACTACCCTCATTGATAAAAGCAAAGATACTCTATGTGCAAAAGCTGACAGAAGGAACAAGCACACAACCTCAAATGGCCAGCTTTACTGCACTGATGTCAAGCTCGACTAAACTTTCGGAAGGCTGGTCACTGAGGGCGTCTAAGAAATCAAAGCATTTCAACGAAAACCAAAAGAATTATCTCGATGAAGAGTTCAAACTTGGCCAGGAGACTTGTTACAAAGAAGATCCATCCCAAGTTGCGAGTGATATGCGTCGCGCTAAAAATGAAAACGGAGAGCGTCGATTTGCTGTTGGCGAGTTTTTATCACCACAGCAGATAAAGTCGTATTTCTCAAGGTCAGCAGTAAAGATCAAACAGGCGGATCGGTGGCAGAGATCGATGTACCAGCCATTGATGAAGAAATGGCATACTCCTCAGCTCATGACAAGATAATGCAAGAGTGCCAGCTTAGTCATCCCATTTTGTATGACACATACCACCTCTGTCAACTGTATGCCACGAACAAGCTTACTCGTTTCATTATTTCTTTCCTTCAAGATATATGCACATATTTCCAATTGGAAATCGATTCCCTTCCTGCTACACGAAAAGCGCCATACGTTGGTCTGATCAATGAACTGATAAAGTCGTGTACGTGCAAAGAAAAATAGGAACTTTCCAGCTGGAACTGACTATAGTCTTCGTATTCAGAAAGTAATGACTCATGGAATAGAGGGACGCCAACATTATTCCAACTGCCTTAAGATTATCCCTTTGAAGCTTTGTTATAAAAAAAAATTGACAGTGAAAACCTCACGTTTACATAAACATGTTTTAGATCGAAAGGATTTTATAGACCAACCTTGTTCTGTTAAAAACGTTGGTCATCTTCTGTATCATCACTTAATGGACTTCCTGTGTGTAACGCAATCACATACCATCGATCGCACTGCAGTGGCGAGAAATGCTAGCATGGATAAGTTTTGAAAACGGTGAAGCGGGTTAAAGTGCGTACTCTTGACATGGAAACCACTTCTAAAAGTAACTTTTTGTGTAATTATAGCCTGGGCAATTCCTTCTGATGTTAAAAAAGTTTTTTTTATCGTTGGGTTGGTATTACTTGCGAATATGACCGTTGTAACAACATAAACCAGCAATTTGCATATACTAGACTATCGAAGATTGCCCAGATTGCCTTGACTTTTTGGCTTCAGGAGAAAATCATATGTATATTTAATATGAAAGAGACCTGTTTCGAAGTTTTTATATGAAATAAGAGGGAATTCGAGTGTTTTGGTAATGTTTTTCTTAATATGACGTGCAAGTCACGTTGGTCACGTAACGCGCCTCTTATATAAATCGCTCTAAAAATTAGTGGTTTAAATAGCCCAAAAATTTTATTGCAGTTTCTAAAAGAAGAAGCCTTGTTCTTGACAATGATTATTGTCTCATGGTCAGTTTATGGAGCTTCCCCTGTTCTTGCAACGAGAAATATTTCGTCTAAGCAGGACACGCCGAACTATGATAACTGAAACCTTTCATATAGACTTCCTCCCTCGCGTTTAATCATTTAAAATGCGTCAGAAATTTGCAGCTGTGGGATGCCTCAGGTATGAAACTGATTCTGGTTGAAGCCCAACCAACAAAGAGGAGAGCATAGCAGTTCTTCAATTGTTTTCGTCTGTGTTCCAACTCTCTGAAATTTGTTGTAGGTTATCTAAGATTGCAACGAGTAATATGTCGTCTAAACAGCCCACATCCAGCCACGATCAATTACACCTCATACTTCAATAATGATATTTATACACACTGAGAATTCTTCATCAGTGTTTGCTCGTTTAAAATATGTCAGAAAATTGTCAGTTGTGTTCAAAAATTGAACCTTTGAAGTGCCTCAGGTATGAAATGGAAATAAGTAGAAAATGGAGAGACATCTGTGGTATCATTCTTTTAAAAGAACGACGAACAATCTCCTTTTATCTAGATCAACTGTCACTGATAGGGTGCTAACCTGGTGTCCATGTTATTCGTGTGAAGTTCAGACTTGTGTCATTAGTAGCCATGAAAAATTGGAAATTAAAATTTCAAGCTGGCGCGATTTTATTTGGTCTTAGAAAAGTGCGATTTGAGACAATCTGCGAATGCATAAACCAATTTAAATGTAAATTTTGGTCACAGATGTAAACGTATTTTTAAATGTTTGAATCAATTTGTAATGACAGGTTTTTTCTTTCCGCTTTTCGTCCCCGGACTGATATTAAAAACAAAACCGTAACACGATGTTATGCCGCGCGCCATCGATTTTTTTCAAACTCGTTCTCTACCAGCTTTTTCACTTTCGTCAGGAAAGTTATGATGATTTTTTTTAACAAAGACTGTTTTGCCTATTTTGCCTATTTCGCCCCACGATGTTATTTCCTTTCTTCATCCCTTTGGTCAACAAGATAAGAGAAATGGGCGCTAACTGAAAATAAAGGAGGCGGAGAAACCATCAGCCATGATGGCACTACGCGCTCGGTATCGTTTTAATCCCAGAGTTCCATCGGGTACCAAAAAAAATTTCTTTTCCTTTGATGCCAATTTTTATTCCAACTTTACATTTGTCATTTTCGATCTACAATTTTTCTTCTTTTAAAGTTAATTCCTTTAGCAAGCACACAGACATCGGTCAGTAATATTTCTGTTTGACGATATGGTAAGGAAATTCTCTTTTGTCAGTTTTTGAATGACAGCATAAGCGGTTTCAACGGTATATTTAAATATACTGTCATTCTTTTGGACCGGTAATTAAGTGCAAAGATTATCCCTGTATTGTGGTGAATTCTGAATTCCTAAAAAGCGTCATGGAACGAGTTCAAGGAAAAAGAAGCGAAAGTTAGGAATAATTAATCACTCGGGTTGGGAGACATAAGATCAATAAAACTTGAAGAAAACACAGACCAGCATTAAACTGGATATATCAAATATTTCAAAAGTTGACAATATTCTTGCCATGAGTTAATCTGTGATAGCATCCAGAAAAATATTTCATTTTAGTTAACACCAATTGCACAAGAGCGATCCCTGAAACCTTATTTCCTACGTAACATTTCAAATGAAAACCTTCTCACTATTGTTTATACGTTTGAAATACGTCAGGAAATTGTTCGCTGTGTCAAAAAGCTTTTTTTTGTGCTTAACTTGTCATGTACATCACGTATGAAATATGAATAAGAGGCAACTATTCAAAGACATCTTTAAAATTATTGTTTCATGTTGCAACAAACAACCCCGCTTTATTTAGCTTGCGAGAAGGCACTCAATATTATGGCTTCAATGCGAATTGAATAAGTTTGAGGATGTAAGGCCAAAGATGCAAAGACTAGCTGACAGAAAAACTAGATGAATGACTTAATTAATTGCTAAGAGATGCGTCAATCCTTCCTCAGAAAGAGTTCTTTCACAGGGAATTTTCTTTTTCAGTACAGCGACGGTAGCTTTAAAACTAATCAAACAAAAAGATGTTTGTCGCAACCAGCTGTTGATTTTACTAGATAACGTTTCAGTTTAATTCAAATTAGCATTGAAAGGGAATTTCCTTGACAAACACAAAGACATGGGCTATATTTTTTTATTTTACAATGCGATATGAGACTCCTAGGTCTTAAAAGATCTATTTTATCACTTCTTTAATGGGTGAAGTAAACATGTCGTTTTTAGGCCGATAATTAGATGGTATAGTATTGAAGCAAATTCTGAGCTCATAATAAAGCTTTGAAAACGAAAAAAAAAACATTTGAGGAACTTTGGGACAGCAGTTAATCACTCGGAAATGGAGGAAATAAAATTCGTAGAACTCAGAGACAACCTAAAGATACACCAGTAAGAAACTGAACATATGGTGACCTCTATACAATAATACGAAACTTGTTTTTCGCCGTTGCCAATATAACTTCGGCACATCGATCGATCTGTAAAAAAAATTCCATAACAAACAGAGATGATCAATTTTATTTCATACACTTTCGTAACTTTCAGTTAAAAATACAAGTAACAGAAACTTCTTCACATAAGCTTTACGGATAATTTTCTGATCACAAAACAAACAAATTCTAGACTTAAACTGGACTGTCTCTTTTGGCAATATGGCGTCAACATCAACGTCAAGCGCTTTCTTTTAATTACAGGAAAAATGAGTCGAAATAGTTTTCTCGAAACACACAACATCGGCCTCAAACACATCTCTTAAACTACTCTTCGAAGTTTTATCTGATGCCTTCATATTGCTAAGAGGAGAAAACATGAAAGTAAAATGTTTGCATATCTTTTCTTCGATTATGACATCTTGTATTTTAGCATAGCGGCAAGAAACCATATTTTTGAAAACACATAGCTACGGTTACCTAGTCTGTCGCTAAATTTTTCTCAGAGATATAAAGACTTTCGACAACAGCCTGTGCAACTATTCTATTGAGCCACTTATTTACTTTTATTCAAAAACGTATTTAACGACTGCTCTCTAATAATAATCATGACTTAATGAGTTTGCTTTGAAAGTTTGAAGAACTCGAGGAAGACCTAACTCAGCAAAGTGCTTGTCTAACTGTGTGCTTCACTGCTTGTCTCACTTCACTAATCTTCCAGCAGTATAGGAACGGGTTTAACGTCGAGTTGAAGCAAAGTAAAATAATTGCTACTTTATATATGACGAATAAGAGAAATGAATATTTTTTGGTATGAGCGATCACAATATTCACTGTACATAGTGGTGCATAACAAACAACTAATGCCAACTGCACCCACAGTGCACTGTATACTGCCTTTCTGAATCGCGCCGTGTTCAGTGCATTTGTTTGGCTCGGCTGTTGTTGATCTCCTACTTGTGCTTGATGATATCTGAGAGTGCGAAAAATCTTTGTGTACGATGCGAATGATATTACCAGGCAAAATGATATAACTAGGGAGCTGTACTGAAAGATTATACGGTGATAAAATAATCCACTTAAAGAGACCACAAGGGTAAAAACCCAAAAGGTAGTTACAATAATATACGCGCGCTTCAAAGTGACAATTTGTTCGTATCTCAGTCCCAACATCAGGGCGAGAAGTCTGTCCACGCTTATGGCCGTCATCGTCATCAAAGACATCAAACTCAATACACGGCCTGTGGTGCCGCCTGCGTCCCTTGCGTGTCGACAAAGGCTCCAGTGTTCCTGAACCACGGACATCCAACATAGAGCATCGAGAGGCTGAGCAACAAGACCAACCAACAGATCAGTGGTTGCCAGACAACGATACGCGGATGCAGGCAAGATTTCTTGTGAAGGGCAACAAGGATAAGAGAATTTCCTGCAAATGCTGTGATGAGAAGGAGAATGTCAACCGCTAAGAAGCAAATTGATAGTTGTTGTTGAAGCCCACTCACCAAAGAGGAAGAGCATAGCAGTTCTTTAAATGATTCCGTGCGACTTCTACCGCTACTGAAATTTGTTGTCGACATAATTCTGTCTTCGGCGTGTTCCTTTTCTTGTAGGTTTCTGTTCTTGCAACGGAAAATGGCAGCAAGGATTACTGAAGCTTAACTTCCTAACTAACTGTCGCATAAAGACTTACTCATTCAAAATGCATTAGGAAATTTTCTGCTGGGTCAAAAAAATTTTATTTTTCTCGGGAATCTTTGGGTGCCTCTTTTATGAAATAGCAATTAAAGGCACATATAGAAACATCTGTTATTTCGGTGTTTTTACAGAGCGGCAAAGATCCGCTCTTTACTAGAATCAAATCCCATTATAATAGGATGCTAATCAAGGGTCCATATCTTTCGTGTGAAGTTAAGACTTGAATCATTATCAGCTACGGAAAGCTAAAAATGCCAAAGCTCAAGCTGGCGATGTCAATTATTCTATGAGAAAACTGAATTCGTGACAGTCACCTAATGTATAACGTAGACTACATAACTATTCAAAATTAATGTACGGCCACACATACAAACTTGTTTCAAAATATTTGAAATTAACTGTGTATCAAATTTCGCTTTCTAGCTTTTTTTCTCCCCGTTTCGTATCCGAATAGAACTAAAAACAAAATAGAAACAGGATCAAGTTAGCACGCCATTTAACCATTTCCTGTAACTGTAAAAGGAAAATTATTCAATTTCTGTTCGTGCGATTCTCTTAGGTAATTAGCGACTCTTCTTTGGTGATGACAATTAGTTCCTAATACTAAGGTAAACAGGATAATTTATGAATCGAGATGGAAAATGAAGGGATGGGCGCTCGAAGCTTATCAATAATCGATAAAAAATTTTTATAACTGTTCCAGGAGAAGTTTCGTCTTTACCAACTCTGACACATATTTCAAACTTTCTGAAATTGCCTCGTGCTTTTTATCGCACACTGGGGAACGAATAAGTTGTTAAGGAGACACCTGCTTGCCAAGACAGATTCGGACTTGTATTAGGCCTCGTTTACATGAACATACTATTTAAAATATATTTCAAATAGCAAAATTTTCGAAAATGGGTTTATATATATACTTATATATCAACTTTAGATCTATCGTTTTATTTTTGGACGGGAAAATTGCTGATAGACAAACCAACAACTTATCAACTTCTCCGAATGGCGACTGCAGCTGATGAAACTAATAAAGCGTTTGGGTGGGCTGCGACAAGTTTTTAATCTCAAAGAATTTCAGTTTTAGTACAAATAAGCACTAAAAGGTAATTTCTTTGACAAACAAATAGGCATCAGCTATATTACTGTTTGACTGCCCATTATTAAATTGAAATATTCTGCCTGTATTGAAGACAGTACTGAACAATAACGAGGAAAAGTTAGCCTAGAGACCCTATGATCTAGTTTTCTTACTTCCTACGTCTGGTTAGAGAGAAAATAAAAGTGTTTTTGTATCAAGAAATCTCTCATATAAACGGCAGGTAATTTTGCAATGCTCTGGGGCAGTTGTCAAAATTTTCCTTTCATCACAACGGTAACATCTTAATACTGAAGTGAAGAAAACAATTTATAAGTGGTAGTCGAAAACCAATGGACATATGCTAAGGAATTATCAAAACTCGTCCCACAGTTGTTCAATTCTACCTTCATCAGCAACATTTACTTCAAAACTCCCTCACTAGCGTTTACTCTTTGAAAAGACTATTGACAAAAGCTCGACGTACAACGATTCTACTGAACTTCTTATTTCTTCTCCTTAATCAATGACATTTTTGACGAGCGCTCCCTAACAATTATCATGACTTAATGAAAGTCTTACAAGACCAAACCGAGGACGAGGTAACGCTGCGGACAGCAAAGTACTTCTCTGATTGTCTGTTTTACTGCATGTCTTACTCCCCAAATTTTCTAACAAAAAAATACGGATATAACTTCAAGTTAAAATAAAATGAGACAACTGATACTCTCCATACAACGACTGAGTCTGATTGATATGTTTTACTATAGATTGGTGCGCAACAAACAACTAACGCTAACTGCACCCGCAGTGCACTGTACCCAGCCCCTCTGTATCGCGTCAACCGAATAGCGACTGCATCTTAACTAGTAAATAGTGTGTGTTAACCCCTTAACTCCCAGATCAAATTTGTATTTCTCCTTACTATCAGTCATACAATTCTTATAATGTTAGTCAAGAGAATATATTATTGGATCAACTAATTATCCCCAAATTGATATTTTTCTTTACTCTCACTACTTATCTGTTTGATTTTGTATTGATATTGTAAGGAGAAATTCTGTCTTGGTCACTCATGGGAGTTAAAGGGTTAATTAATTAAGATATGAAGCACACAGGAATCTGAGGAGACATCATCCAGCCATGACACCCTCAGCCTCGTTTTGAGTACGAAATTTCATCAAATACTAAATTATTCATTTCGTAACATATTTACTTTTCTTTCGACTCTAAATTATTTATTTTAACTTTTAAACCATTATTTTATTCATCGATGGGGAAATATCTGAGAAGCAAACCACACGAGTGCCTTCATTGTCAAAACAAATCCAACAACTTATTTGATTGTTGTGTAAAGTTCTTTTCTCGGCAATTTTCCTTCCCATTTATCTCTTCTTTAATTATTCCGAATAGTGACTGCAGCTTGACTGGAAAACAGTTATAAATAAGCAACACAGCGGTCAAATGATTACGCGTGCGCTTTTAGATGGATAATTTGCTATTCTAGACATTGAGAATCCAAATGATGCGTAGTTTTTTGCAGTTTCTTAGGAAAGTTCAAAGTTTCTAAGGCCTAGACTTATACACTTTGTTGCTCTAGACTTAACCTATGTGGTTCTAGTTTACACTCTCGTACTTTTTTTTTAAACTTTGCCTAGCGGCGCGATGAAATCGTAAGCCTGGACGTGCTGGCGGTGGTTATTCCTTATTGCATTTATGGTGGAGTTGCCGTCATCACCGAGGGAAATGTGTGAAAAAGGAAGAACCAGTGCCACATAAGATATTGGTGACGATAACAGGTCTATGTTATGATAGTAGACTGTGTAGCGAGGGTAAAAGAAAGGTTCTGTCGTTTGATTTAGACCAAGATTTAAGTTTTCTCCGAAATCCCTCTCTCAACTGTATTACGCATTCAATTTGGAATAGTTAGGAACTTAACCTCTCCTTCTCCACTTTATGCAGAACACGCGTTTGAAAATCCCCCGTATTCTTTTCAAAACACGTGCATGCGCAGTGTTTGACTGCTGTGGTTGAATTGGCCGCTACTAGCTGTTTACTCCAATCAATAAAATTTAATTCGAGCACTAATTAGCGCTAAAGTCAAATCCCATGGCAAACATGAAGATATCAGCTATATTGCTGTTTTCAAAACAATAAAAGAACTTGAGTGTGACTTTTTCTAAGTAATGAAATAATCAGCATATTTAGTCCAATTTTAGTCCAATCACGAGTCCAATTTTTTTTACATCATTCAAAGTTGCCCGCTTGATCTTCGTAATTTCAGTTTGTCGAGGCTGATAATGATTGAATTCCTAATTTCACACAGATGATATGGACACTTGATAAGCCCCCTATCGATGAAAGTTCATAAGGAAAAGTGACCAAAATAGCAACAAATTACCTTAATTTAAGAGTCAAACGTAAAGATAGATATCTTTGATACTATTAGTATTTCGCAATTATTTTAAACTCCGTCTTCTCAGGTAGAATTCGCCTTTAGCTGAGCGGAGGAGATGGAGTCTTACGTTAAATCTCGGAAAAATTTAAGAGCTAATGTCAACAAACATTAGACAAACAGCGGCAAGTCACCCAAAATTGTTTTCACTCATACTTTCATATTTTGTAGCCCAATATGTCCTAATAATTGTTGTGTAGATTTTTGTGAGAATATATTTTCTTTTTCAAGAAATAATTTTTTTAGCTCGACCGCTCAAATATGCAAATTTTACCGTGAATGTTACTTGAGTTGTGTGACCTCGTGTAACGAATATACTTGACCTCCGCTATTTCTGACAACATAATCCTTTGTTGTATCATCTAAACTTAATCCCCTGTCATTATTGAAGCTGGCAAAGAAATATATATTTTTTGGTGAATATTTTTGTCCGAAATATTTTTTCTATGTCGAAAAGTAGCATCAAGACAAAGACAGTTTAAACAATGACCGATATGACAAAATCTACTGAGCTTCTAGCTTTTGAAATACAAAAGGATGGTTATGAAGTTACTGTAAAAATTTCCTTGTGTATTTGTGTTGTTCTAACGTGAGACGAACTCAAAGTCAGACAAAATATACTTGCTAGCGACTATGAAATAGACATGGTGCCTACTTGTCGCCACCGTTTACTGGCATAGATCACTACAATTTACGAAAAAAGTTTTGCAACTTTTCAGATGCTGAAAATGAAGTTGATCTGATTTTGTCGCGAGCCAGCATCTTCAAGATGCCAAAAGATATCGATAATTTGACAATTTGCCCCACTCATAGATCAAATCTCGGTGTTGGGTGGAGTCGTGGTTCCAATAGCAGATGTAGAGTGCCAAAAGAAGTGTTCGGCCATGGTGAAGGCAGGGTCAAGTCGACTCCAAAAGGCGATAGGGGAATTGGCAAGTGTGTTTCACGGATAATACTCAAGGTATCTGGAAAATTCTTACAACCTGGCTACGGTAAGTACGCTACTTAGCACCGTGTACAAAATTACGCCTCCCGTCAGACTGAAGTCTCGACTGGGAATTGGTCAGTAGGCTACCAAAA